CCGTGCCGCGTGTAGCCGCGCGGCACGGGGTTCGCACTAGCCGGCTTTTAAAAATGGTGGCGCCGGCTTTATGCTAATGAAGCCCGGGAAATTCAAATCCCGGGCTTCATTAGCAAGTTCGGTATGCATACATTACCCCGCTAGTTCGAACTAGCGGGGTAGTGTAGACATACCCTAGGTGTGTTGTCCCCAGGATATTAGACAAGAGAGGTGAAGTAGTATCTTGTATTAGACCAAGTTCCGTTGGTGAAAAAAAAAACAAGCTTTCAGGCTACCCAGGACACTTTCTCAGGGTTAGGAATAAAGCATTAACCTTTATTTCAAGAGACCATTAGAGCTGAAGTTAACTCTCAGAACAAAGATGGGTTAGTGAGTTACAGATTGTTGTAGTGCACCATAAATCCAGTGTCTTTATTACGTTCATGATTTTTGGTGTCTAGCAGAGTTTGAATTTAAATCCCCAGGCTCATCATTAGAAAGTGCTGTGTAGTTAGAATTATTATTAATATTGGAAATTATTACTATTGGAGATTATTAATATTAATGGAAAATCACCCAACATTAATTTAACCATAAATTGCTTTATTGCATTCAAAGACAAAATGGTGTTTATGCAGTTGCTCTTAAAAAGCCATTTACCACAGCCAAACAGTAACAAGCCATTTATAAGCATTTGATCACGATACTTGCAAATAGGCTAACTCTAGGGATACTTGGATCCGTATTGGTTTGCTCTCTCCTGCATGGTCAGGCAGGTATTAGCAATGAACCCTTGAAAAGCTGATCTTTCATGCCCTTCTACAAGCAAGTGATGTCAGTTCCAACTACTGATAGCAGCTAAAACATTTTGAGACAGTTTGCCTTATTTCCACTTTTAATCCAGATCAGTTTTACAGCCTCCTACCTTCCCAAACCCTTCCTCCTTATCTCTTCCTTACCATTCTAAGGACCAAGAGCTTTTTCATGGCACCTGAGTTCACATACAAGATAATGTGAGTATGTGGTGTGGGAAAGGGCCATGCCCATTTTAAGATGGAGTCTCTTTGCTTGATTTAAAGCCATCTCTAGTCACCTATATTTGTCAGAGGCCTTTTTAGAAACTTCTCCTTATTTCATTAATTAGTCTTTGAACCAGACACTTTCGCCTACTTCATTCCTTTTTGCTTTAACCAACAAGCTAATTTTAAATCTTTAATTTTATACTTGGCCTATATGCAAGTTTTCTTTGAGGATGAGGACTGAGAGGAAAACTATGGAATGATCACTTTGGGTATGTGTACACTGCACCACTATTTCAGGATATCAGAGTATCCTGCATCTACACAGCAGGCCCCTTATTATGGGCTCACTATTCCGACGTCCCTGTAAGCCTCATTCTACGAGGACTGAGGTATGCTTCAGAATAGCGCTTTATTTTGAAAGTTGGCGCTGTGTAGACAGTGCCAAATATTGAAATAAGATATGCAATTAGTGTAGCTCAAATTGCATACCGTAGTTCGAGTTATGGTGCTGTGTAGACGCACCCTTTGTGAAACGTATTCGCCTGTGGATTAGATGGTGTTTTTGTCTTTTATTAGTTTTCTGTATGAGTTCATTTGTGCGTGTAGTGAATTTCTGGTTTTACCCATACAGTTATTGGGGCATTCAGTGCACTGGCGGAGGTATGCCACATGGAGTGATAGTCATGTATAGGACACATGATCCTGAGCATGAACAGTGGTCCAGTATTTTGTGGAGGGTGTTGATCATTGTAGTAGTGGCACTATATCTACAGACTTTGCATTTGTTCTGGCAGGGATTTGTGCCACTTTGAATTGGTGTGATGATTTGTTTGAAGGCCAGAAGAAGCAATTCAGGAAAACATTTTACTCAGAATATGCTTCCCCATCAACTATGGATTGTAATTGACTGGACAGAAGTTGGCCAATAAAAGATACTCTCTCACCCACCTTTTCTGATTAGTGGTAGACATCTGTATATTGGACCCAAAGAAGGTCTGAACAAAAGAATGTTTGTGATGGAGATTGATTCAGGATCCTGTGACTTGGATATGTTGAGCATCAACACATTAACTGACAAATACTCTTATTTGGGATGGTTATCAAATTCTATTTTTTTCTCTTTTGTAAATATGGGGAATGCTCTTCACATAGGATTGAGCCTGAAGGATCAGTTTCACTCTCAGGCTACATCGACATGGCAGCTTTTTTTCCGGCAGAAGATATGCAAATGAAGCGCTAATTTGCATACATTGTATTGTCATTTGCATATCATCTTCTGATCCTTTTTGCGGAAGAGGGTTTGCCATTAAAAAGCCCCATGTAAACGAGGCCATTTGTTGGGAAAAAAGCCTTTTGTGCAAGAGCCTGTAAACCTCATTTTTTGAGGAATAAGGGATCTTGCACAAAGGGTTTTTTTCTGACAAATGTCCCCATCTAAACAGCTTTTTAGCAGCAAAACCTCTTCTGCAAAAAGGGATCAGAAGAAGATAAGCAAATGAGTGCAATATATGTAAATTAGCACTTCATTTGCATATCTTCTGCCAAAAAAAAGCCACCGTGTAGATGTAGCCTCAGAGAAAAAGAGAACAATGTCATAAAGAAATTTAGCTCAAGAATAACAGCTCCGAGCTCCGTATGCTGCAAAGTTTAAGGCAATGGTTAGTGAAGAAACATGTTTCTGAGATTACAGCATAATCTAAACAAAAAATCCCAAAGCAGCCTTTGACTAAGGGGACAGGATGTTCTAGTGGATTTATGAGAAGTGGGATTAGCAGCAATACAAAAATATTGATTTACTGTACCAACTTATAAAAGGCATGATGAACATTCTTAAGGATAGCTAGCCTTTGCCTGCCAGAAGCTGGCAATGGGCAGCAGATGTGGGATCACTTGGACTACGTCTACATTGTGCTCTCTTGGGCAAGAACATACGCAAATGAGGCCCAGTGATTAATATTGCCACACCTAGTTTGCATACAAGGGGGTTTTGCGCAAGAAGGAGCAGTCTACACTGCTCCTGAAACTAAGCGGCAGAACGGCTCTTGCGCAAGAGGGGAGTTTTGCGCAAGAAGGAGCAGTATAGACTGCTGCTTCTTGCGCAAAAGCCCCTTGCACAAAAATGGCGGCTCATTTATATAATTTCTTCCACAAGAAAGCACAATGTAGATGAGCCTTGGTGATTCCCTGTTCTGCTCATTTCCTCTGGGGCATCTGACATTGACCACTGTTGGAAAACACGATACTGGGCCATGATTGGACCTTTGGGCTGACCCAGTTCGGCCACTGTTATGATCCAATTCTGTCATGGATTCTGTAACTTCATTAGGCCTCTGTGGCTTCTATGTCTTCTGTCCGCCACAGTGGAGGGCAGTGGAAGGGCTGAAGCAGCTGTCAGTCTCTGCCTAGGGGAGCAGCAATGGGCCAGAGCAGTGGCCAGGGGCTGAACCAGCAGCTGGTGGTCAGCCTGCACAGCAGGATCAGCAGCTACCACTGCCGAGCAACCTAGGGCCAGGTCAGCCCTCCGGGTCAGAGCAGCAGTCACTAGGCCTGGAGCAGCCTCTGAGGCCAGTAGTCAGCTTCTGCCCCAAGAGCAGTATCCCAGATTGGAGCAGGGGCCAGCAATCAGTCCCCAGAGGGGCTCCAAGGGTATGTCTAGATTACATGGCTCTGTCGCCAGAGCCATGTAGATTAGTTTACTAGACATACCCAAATGAAGCGGCGATTTAAATAATCGCCGCTTCATTTAAATTAAAATGGCTGCCGCGCTGAGCAGATCAGCTGTTTGTCGGCCCAGCGTGCTAGTCTGGACACTCCGCAGTTGACATCAAAGGCATTTGTGGACCGCCCCTGTAAACCTCATCCCACAAGGCATAACGGGGCAGTAGACAAATGCCTTTGATGTCGACCGTGGAGTGTCCAGACTAGCGCGCTGCGCCGACAAACAGCTGATTGGCTCAGCGCGGGAGCCATTTTAATTTAAATAAAGCAGCGATTATTTAAATCATTGCTTTATTTGGGTACGTCTAGTAAACTAATCTACATGGTTCTGGCGACAGAGCCATGTAGTCTAGACATACCCTGTCTTCCCCAGGTATTTTAAGTAAAAGTCAAAGACAGCTTGTGGGTTTCCTGGTTCCATCTTTTTTGCCTGTGACCTGTCCATGACTTTTATTAATATACCAGTGACAAAATCTGAATCTTTATCACTACACACTACCAGAGACACCTAGTGTAGTGTGACTGATTTTTACTTTGCTTCTTATTCAGCTTGTTAATTTCTGCTTTGCTCATGGGTTTTCCTAGTCCTCACAACTCCCCCTATGTGCTGTGGAGATTCAGGAAAATAAATGTTGGTTTGGGCAGCGTCTTGCTTTCCAGGAGGCATTGGTAATTTTGTCTAATACAAAGAACACGTGCATGGATCAAGCATAATTCTGAGGATATTGAAGCAGCAAACATATTACTGTACAAACACATTATCTGCATTATCAGGAGCCTCCCGCTGAAAAAGCTGTGTCTTACTGTCTTGGGCGAGAGAACTGGTGTTGCTGGAGAGTACAGTTTCCTTGGGAGGCTGTGGGTGCCCAGCGAGTATCTGTGCTACAGAATTCACTTAGTGGAATCTTGGCCTCTTGTGGCTGTCTGGAGAGGGAGAAATGCCGTCTTTCAGATGGCTAGGATGCATTAACAGCATGTGGGTACCACGATAAGTTCTACTGACTAGAACCTCAGACCTCTGCAAGAACATGAGCTCTTACTGCTTTCCACTGGCTGTTGCCTTATGGGGATATTACACCAAATGCTGCCGCATACGTAGGTGCTGAAACTAGAGGTGCTGCCCCATCCCCTGCCCTGAATTGGTTTCCGTTATATAAAGGGTGTATACTTGTATTTAATGGCTCTCAGCATGCTCCCACCCATACTATACAAATTCTTCCAGTGCCCCTGACTGCAGAACCACAGATCTTTCCTAGGCTGTTATCCCATTACTGATCATGCACACGAAAGACAATAACACAAGTTGTACACATATCTGAATTGCCTTTGCTTTCTTTCCTATTGAATTTCTCTCAGTGGGCTTCATGGTCAACATGACAAGGCTTGCAGCTTTAAAGGATACAGCTGTCATGTCTAACAGTAAAGAGCAGAAGAGGGAATACTTGTGTCCCAGCATCAGTCTCTTTATTATATTTGTCTCCTTTTACTAGTAGAAAGATTTAAACCATATAAGAAAAGTTACTATTACAGGTTTGTAACATTCTAGCTAATGTTTCATCTGCAAGTCTGTTGCTTGTAGCTGTGTGAAGAATTTAACAATGACAGTAAAGAGGGTGTCTCCTTTTTTGGAGTATTGTCTGGGTGATTTGTAACAATTCAACACAGCTGAAAAGCATTAAGTGGAAAAGGTTCCCATTGTGTAGACTCTAAATAGCTAAGGTTGTAGCAGCCAAGAATCTTACTGGGAGTTTTAAAGTCTGCAAGGTAACAGGAGGACCCCAGCAATCAGAATTACTGGCTTCCTTTCTACTTCTAACACAATGGTACACATGCTGCAGGTAAGTGACTTTTACATAGAATTATCAAAAGGCAGCCTATACGATGATTGTAAAGTAGTTTGTTATAAAAGTAGCTGGCATTTTGCATGGTTACAGCCCCTTATAAAATTCACCCAACATAAGCAAGGATAGATTAAATTTTGTTTAACTCTAAATAAAACAAAGAAGCTGAACTTTGAAAAGATCCTTCTTGCTTCCTGCATCTTGTCTGCATGGCTGAGTAGCAATCTACTGAGCCCAGCCACCCCTTATAACTGCAACGGGTAGCTACAAAGACAAAATGATTTTTCCCTATTGCTGTATCATCACTTGAGTCAGCAAAATATTAACTTGAAGCCAATGTTGTACCCAGGGTTCCTTCAAGGCGTCTCATTCAGATGCTGGCTTGTCATTCTGGTTTACCAGCAACTTCATTTCTTGCTTATCTATGCTGGAATTGACACTGTCTGTCTCTTTTTCCTGCTCAGGTACACAAGTGCAACCCACGGGAATAGTGACGTAATCCTCTGTGTACACGTAGCGACCCCCAGCACATGCTGAAGTGCGTCGTAAGATGACAGTTGGCATGTACACTGGAGTGCTGCGGAAGTGGAAATTCTCCTCGCCATAAATCCCAGTGAGACAGCCCTTGCACAGACAGTATGCCTCAGGCATGTATTTGGGATACCTTGTGGGGTCATAGGAAATTCTGCAGGGAAGTAAATAATAAATATTCATGTCATGTTTTTATGTAAGCCATCTGGAAAACATTATAGCAAATGTTGACATCAAATCACATTATATAACATTGGGGGAGTTGCCAGGCAAAATAGCTCTAGCTGTTGTACTGCTTCGTGGAAAAGTGGAAAGAAAAAGTGCAGAGCAGCTTACTGAACTGATCAGGGCCTGGCACACTGAGATCTGACTTGCTTTATTTTCTAAAAATGCCATTCTGAATAACTCATCAGAAAAGTAAGGGGTACACCGAGGGGAGACTAACACAGGACATCTTTGGGCTTTCTTTCACTGAGGTTTTCCACAGACACAGCTTTAGAGTATTAATATCCTTTGTTACTGCTGATCCCCTTCCTGGAGGCAGGCACCTTAGCCAGGTCAGCTGGCTTTCCTCACTAGAGAGAGTCTCCCCCACGCCCAGCTTCCCAGTGGTTGGGACACTCACCCACCAGGGCTGCGAGAGGCCTGCAGCTCTGCTCAAGTTAAAGCATGTACTAGAACTCATCTCTCCTGCCCTACTAGTGTGATAAGAAGGGGAATAAGAACCCTGCAGTGCTTAGATGTGAGCATGGGGGACAGAGAAGCATGTCAGGACTTAGGCAGATTTGCCCCCTGGTGGAACCTTAGACAACTGTGGGAATTTAGGTGCCTTCAGTATGACCAGGCAGCTGAGCAGGCATTCTATGAATGTCAGTAAAAACAACAAATGGTCTGGTAGCACTTCATAGACTATCTCATGCTACCATCTACATGTTTTGTTAGTCTATGAAGTGCTACCAGACCATTTGTTGTTTTTTCTGTAACAGACTCACTTGGCTACCCCTGAACTCCTGTGAATGTCAGTGGCAGCTAAATAGACAGTTGGAAAGTCTCTATGTGACTCTAGCCCTAAGTGCTCACCTTTAAGAGATGAACTGCAAAACCAATTTTGTTTTTATTTTTGTCCTCTCCTGCCATTTTATGAGGTAGCAGTTGTGTTTTCACAGATTTTTTTTTTTTTTGAGAGAGAGAAATGCAGTTAGACCGACAGCAGCTTGTAAATAAAGATTAATTGACAGGCCAACTCCCCTAACCTCAAAATCCTTCAAGAGCCATTTCTGCTGTGCCACCAATAAGAAATCAGCCAAGCAATAATGGTTTAGTTGTAGATTCAGGGAGAACTGGCTACATAAACTATAAGACATGTCCATGGTCCAGAACTCCTAGGCAGCCCTGGGCTTCTGCCTACCCTGTTCTCTCTGGTAGGACCTGATCTCTGCTGAGTTGTCTTAGACTGTTTTTATTATAGGACCTTACCCAACCTTCACCTAAAAGGAAAAAATATGCAGAATTAGACTGTGGAACTCATTGTTACAGGATGTTAGTAAGACCACAAAAATAGAAAATCATCATGAATAAAGTTTGCAGATGACACAAATTAGGAGAGTAGTAAATAATGAAGAGGACAAGTCACTGGATGGGCAACAGGGGATGGATCACTTGATGATTACTTGTTCTGTTCATTTCTGAAGCACCAGGCACTGTTGGAGGACAGAACACTGGACTAGATGGACCTTTGGTCTGACCCAATATGGCCAGTCTTATGTTCACTGAGTCAGAGCCATCTGGAAAGCTTGGTAAATTGGGCGCAAGCAAACTGTATGTGTTTTAATATGGCTATATGTAAATGTGTACCTCTAGGAATGAGCAAGGTAGGCCATGATTATGGCGGAAGATCGGTGGGGGAGTAGTGACTGAAAGTCATGGAACATCATCAGCTGTACATGAGCTCCCAGTGTGACACTGGCCAAAAGAGCTAATTTGATCCTAGGATGCACAAAAAGGGGAATCTTGATTAAGAGCAGGATGATTATTTTACCTCTACATCTGACACTGGTCCAACTACTGCTGAAATCCTGCCTCCACAGTTCACAAAGGATGTTGATAAATTGGAGAGGGTCCAGAGAAGAGCCACAAAAATGATTTGAAGATTACAAAACATACCCTTGACTGAGCTCCTCGAGTCAATCCCTATATTTAGCATAACCGTTTAGTCTGTAACTAGCTACATGGGGAACAAATATGTGATAACAGGCTCTTCCATTTAGCAGAGAGAGTTATAATACAAGGTAATGGCTGGAGGTTGAAGCTAGATACATTCAGACTGGCAATAAGGAGCTCATTTTCAGCTTGAGAAATTCGCCACTGGAACAGTTTACCAAAGGTCATGGTGGATTCTCCATTACTGACCATTTTAAATCAAGCCTGGATGTTCTTCTAAAAGATCTGTGCTAAGAATCATTTGGGACAGTTCTATGATCTGGGTTATTCAGGCGGACAGGCTAGATAATCAGTGGCCCATTATGGGCTTGGAATCTATGAACCTATGAATATAAACTTAGCAAGAGTCCAAGAGTCAAAGATGAGTAGGGTATTTATACAAGGGTATGCCGCATGGCCCCAACCCCAGGGAAGGAGGAGGGCACACAGCACATCCCCGGCTCCAGAGCACCAGAGGCGGGAGGTGGGCACGTGGCATGGCTCCAGCCTCGGACCACTGGGGAGGTAGGAGGGCACATGGCTCCAGCCTCCCCGTCCTGGAGCATGGAGAGAGCAGGCACTGGGGGCAGCAACACTCTGTCCCCAGAATGCCTACAGGTTAGTGCATATGAAACTGGGAACATACCTTAGGGATGAAGGCTGGGCATGGACGTTGTTGCATAAAAAAGCCTTCACCTGAGCTTACTTTATTTTACACATGCATTTTCTGAAACTACACTAACTGCAAGGTCTAAGGTTTTAAACTGCAACTCATTGTAATCTTTGTCAAACACTGCAACTTGCTGTAATCTTTGTAATCTTTAAAAGCGACAAGAAGTCCTATGGCACCTTACAGACTAACAGATTTACTGGAGCATAAGCTTTCGTGGGCAAAGACACACTTTCGTCAGATGCATGTAGTGGAAATTTCCAGAGGCAGGTATAAATATACAGACCAGAATAAGGCTAGAGATAACGAGGTTAATTCAGTCAAGAAGGATGAGGCCCACTTCTAGCAGATGATGTGGAGGTGTGAACACCAAGAGAAGAAAAACTGCTTTTGTACTTGGCTAACCATTCACAGTCTTTGTTTAATCCTAAATTGATGGGCTGTGTCTACACTGGGCCACTTATTCCGGAAAATCAGCCGCTTTTCCGGAATAAGCTGCAAGCTGTCTACACTGGCCCTTGAATTTCCGGAAAAGCAACGATGCTCTACTGTACAAAATCAGCCGCTATTCCGGAAAAACTATTCTGCTCCCGCTCGGGCATAAGTCCTTATTCCGGAACACTGTTCCGGAAAAGGGCCAGTGTAGACAGCCCAGTAGTCTTTTCCGGAAAAAAGCCCCAATCGCGAAAATGGCGATCGGGGCTCTTTTCCGGAAAAGCGCGTCTACATTGGCCACAGACGCTTTTCCGGAAAAAGGGCTTTTCCGGAAAAGCAGCCTGCCAATGTAGACGCTCCTTTTCCGGAAAAACTGAAAATGGAATAGTATTCCGTTTTAAGCAGTTCCGGAAATTCATGCCAGTGTAGACACAGCCATGGTGTCAAATTTGCAGATGAACTGTAGCTCAGCAGTTTCTCTCTGAAGTCTGGTCTTGAATTTTTTTTGCTGCAGGATGGCTACTTTTAAAGCTGCTACTGTGTGTCCAGGAAGACTGAAGTGTTCTCCTACAGGTTTTTGTATATTGCCATTCTCAGGGCTTGACAAACTATGTAATCTACTCGCCTGTGGCGAGTAGATTACAACCTGGAAGAGCCAGGTCCGGGTGATCTGCGCATGCGCAGATTTCCGGACAGCGTGGCTGGTAAGTGAGACTCGGCTCGGCGAGCCCTGACCATTCCTAATATCTGATTTGTGTCCAGATGAACTGTAGCTCAGCAGTTTCTCTCTGAAGTCTGGTCTTGAATTTTTTTTGCTGCAGGATGGCTACTTTTAAATCTGCTACTGTGTGTCCAGGGAGATTGAAGTGATCTCCTACAGGTTTTTGTATATTGCTATTCCTGATATCGGATTTGTGTCCATTTATTTTTTTACGTAAGGACTGTCTAGTTTGGCCGATGTATATGTCAGAGGAGCATTGCTGGCACATGATTGCATATATTACATTGGTGGATGTGCAGGTGAATGAACCCGTGATGGTGTGGCTGATGTGGCTAGGTCCTGTGATGGTGTCGCTGGTGTAGATATGAGGGCAGAGTTGGCACTGAGGTTTGTTGCATGGATTGGTTCCTGAGTTAGAGTTATTGTGGTGTGGCGTATAGTTGCTGGTGAGAATTTGCTTCACATTGGTGGGTTGTCTGTGGGCGAGGACTGGCCTCCCTCCCAAGGCCTGTGGAAGTGAGGGATTATTGTCCAGGATGGGTTGTAGATCACTGATGATGTGTTGGAGAGGTGATGCTGAAGACTGTAGGTGATGGCCAGTGGTGGTCTGTTGGTTTCTTTCTTGGGCTTCTCTTGTAGTAGGAGGCTTCTGGGTACATGTCTGGCTCTGTTAATCTGTTTCCTCGCTTCCTCGTGCGGGTATCATAGTTTCAAGAATGCTTGGTGGAGTCTTGTAGGTGTTGGTGTCTGTCTGAGGCGTTGGAGCAGATGTGGTTGTACCTTAGTGCTTGGCTGTAGACAATGGATCATGTGGTGTGTCCGGTATGGAAGCTGGAGACTTGAAGATAGGAATGGCGGACGTATAGGGTGGTATTGATATGACCGTCACTTATTTGTATCGTGGTGTCCAGGAAATGGACCTCCCGTGTAGATTGGTCCATGCTGAGGTTGATGGTGGGGTGGAAGTTGTTGAAATTGTGGTGGAATTCTTTCAGAGTCTCCTTCCCATGGGTCCAGATGATTAAGATGTCATCGATGTAGTGTAGGTAGAGAAGGGGTGTTAGTGGACGAGAGCTGAGGAAGCATTGTTCCAGGTCAGCCATAAAAATGTTGGCATATTGTGGGGTCA